TCAGATAATATTACAAATACAAAAAATTTTTTTTAGCAATTATGAAATAATAATAATTTTACTTCAACTATTTTATCACAAGAATATAATATTCAAAGAGAACTAGATAAATATTTAGCAATATCATTAGAAAATCAGATTAATCCTTTATTATAATAGCAATTAAAATAATAAGATTTTCAATTTTAAATCAAATAGCAAGAGATTATTTATATATTCAAGTTACAAATGTAGCTTTAGAATAAGGTTTTTCAGTTATCAAATTAATTATTTTACCTTTAAAAAATAAATTAAAAGCAGAAACATCTAGGGCAATATTGTGTTTAAAGAATTAGTTTTGTTAAGATGTTTGTAAAAAATAATACAATTAATGTAAAATAATAATTAATAAAGAAAGAAGTAACATTTTTTTTTAATAATAAATAATTTAATTTAGTATATATTTGTATTTATTTATAATAAAAATCAATTTATTATTATCTCAATAAAATTAAACTTTAATATTATATATTAACTAAGGACTAGTCTAAAGATGATCATTACAATTAAAAAAATAGCGCAATTAAATTACAACTTGTAACAAAATTAAATTTTCTTATAGTATAATTAAGTTGCAATTCAATTGAAATTTGAAAATAAATATGGGGACCATCTTTAGATTAGTTATTGAACTGGTCTTATAAATCAGTCTAAAAGAAAACATATTTTAGCTAGACTAGACTATTAAAACTAAATATATAAAGATTAGTCCTAAATACTGATCCTAAGACTGACTTATAAACTAATCCAATCCTAAAAAAGATAAAAGACTAATCCTTTTGAACTAGACTGAACTAAACTGATCTAACTCTACCTATTTAAAGTTTTATTTTAGATTTATATAAATTTTCTTATTATCAAAAATATGTATTTTTTTTCTAAAAGACTAGCATTTTATTAAAAAAAGCAAAAAAAAATGTTAAATTCTTGATTAAAACAGATTTTCAAGTGATTGGATAAATATTTAATATTTCTGCTTACAGCATATTTTTTGACAATTCATAACCTTATATAAAACTATGAAAAATCTTCTATTATACTTTAAAATTATTATAAAATAATAAGTTTATCCCTTTGATACTATATTCAGATTTAGCACTTTTTATTATTTATCTTATTTTAAAAATAAAAATTAAATAAATAAATATATAATATTTATTATTTATTACCAAAAATATTTATCTTACTCTTTATAAACAGTATTATAAATATTCAATCAGATAATCTATTACTTTAATAAAGTTTTTCTTTGATATATAATATTTGTTTACTAATATTTATTATAAAGAAAATAATATAAATTAAAAAAAATTAGTACGTAAAACTACTTTTACAATTATTTGTGAATAAACTTCAAATTAGTATCTTTCAATTTTAAATCCTAGTCAGTAAAATTATTATTTTTTAAATTTAAAATATAAGTCTTCTTTCTTCATTTGACTAATAATTAATATTATTATTTTCATAACCGTCAAATTATTCTTCTATCACATATGAAGGTCAAATGCATATATTAGATAATTATATTTCTAATTCTTATTCAATAATATAATCACTATTACTATTATTTCCTTCTTTTCTTTCTTTTATTCCACCTCCTTTATTATGTAAAATAGTTATTATATTTTAAGTGTAAAAAAGAAAGAAGACTTAAAAGCTAATAATAATGTCTCTAACATAAACTTATTAGAAGTAGTATCAACTTCAAAATCTTAGCTTATAAACTATATTAAGATAAACAAGTCATAAAATAGTTATAAAAGTTGTGATCTTTTATAGAGATTGATTATATTAATTTGCATATGATCTCATCAAATAATTTCTTAAATTTAATAATGTAAGATTCTTAGTTCTCTTATAAGATAACTTCCTTAAAAATGAATTAAACTCTGTTAATATATCCTTATCATCTAAGAAAAATAATCAGCAAGATTTATTTAAAATTTATTTATTTATCCTTTATTTATTTAATAATATTAATTAATTAATACATTATATAGATATTGACAAGAATAAAAATAATAGTAATAGAAAACGTAAGAAACTATTAAAGTTAACTTATTGCTCAAAATATCAAAAAAGGCTGATCTAACTAGATTTTAAAGGTTAGAATATACTTGAATTTCTCACAGAAAAATTTGTTGAAATAATGGATGGTTGTACTAGATATTTTATTTTCATTATTGTTTCTTTTAAAAACATTGTAATTTTTAACTTTATATATTATATATAGGCTTATTTATAATATGGTAATTACAAATTTTAATTATAATTATTTATCAACTCTTCAATTTTGATTTTGTTCTTTTCTTAAATTTAAGATTTTACATACTCTTGAATGGAATTTTATAAAGAATTGCTTATATGAGATGCTTGATCATGCTATTATATATGTAATTCAAGCTCAAGATATAGTTGTTTATTGAAATAATAAAATTAAATATAAAAAATACCATCTTCATTTCTAAAGAAAAAAAGTATAATATAAAAAAATATTTGATAGTTATATAAATATATTACATTATAATGTATTGTCATCAATATTAATTTTTACTAATTTTATCAAAATAGGATAATCAGTAAACAATTATTATTTGTTTTTAATATTGTCATAAATCACTTAAATTCTATATCCATCTTATACATAATAAAAATATTATCAAATCAATAAATCGTTATAATGATAAAAATCCTCTTCTTTTTCTATTGCATCATAAATATCATTAAAAAAATCATAAATAGCCAAATTTAAAAGAAAAGGTTTTAATGGATTCAAAGTTAATATTTAATAAAAATTAAATTATTAGACATTTGTTTGGGTATATGATATGTTTAACTTATTTCTATAAGTTTTTAAATATAACTACTATTAATTTTATCTTTTATATTATAACAGGTAAAAATGTTGAAAATTGTGATGATATCCAAATCACTGATAATCTCAATGCTGTTGTTATTGATTCTAATGTTCGTACTGGTTGTTCTTGATATTCTCCATCCAAAGGATGTGGTTGGTTTAATAACTTAGATATTAATTGTATATTCCATTTATCTTTAGCTTTGGATGATTTTATTTCTCAGTATATTATTTTTATATATATATTTGTTTTTTTATATGATACTTAATTATTTATATTTTGTTAACTACTTGTGTTCCTCCTAAAAAGAGAAATTCAATGAAAAAGCTCAGGCCCATTTACGGCTTTGCATCCAAAAACTTATTAATGAATGTCATAAAAAAAGTTGTCTTGTGGTTTCTTTTAAACTTTGATGTCATTATTATACCCCTTTTTAATGGATCTGCTATGTCTCGTCGTCTTAATAGAAAAATCAATTCAAAAACAGTTCACAAAATGCTTATTTGGGCTCACAGTCGATTTCGTAATCATCTTGTTTTCAAGGCTAAAGAGTTAGGTAAAAAGGTCATCATTCCAAATGAAGCATATACAAGTAAAACTTGCAGGTGTAAATTTTCTTTTTCACTTTTATTTTCATTTTTTCATCATTTTTAATATCTATTTTGCTTTTATGCAGTTGTTGTGGATTTATTAAATATAACCTGGGTGGCAACAAATTGTTTAAATGTCATAAATGTGGAATAGTGATGGATAGGGATGTTAATGGTGCTCGGAGAATTTTTCTGCTTGATGGGGCTGTTTGTGTATAGTGATATTGCATACACTAATTGATTGTTTTATATATAGTAATATATATTAATGATCGATTCAATCCATCCGATAGGATTATTTTACCACCAAAAAAATGTAAGGTGGGTCGAATGTTCCTAGTTCACCTCGTTGAAAAGAAAATAGAAGAATAGAGAGTTACATGTTCCATTGCTTAGCTTCAAGCATCAAAATAAGAGTTCAGTAGTGAGGACCAGGAAGACTGCTGAGCTAACCATAAGCTCCCTTTCTGCAAACTACTTTTATATTGTTGGTTTTAGGTCTTGCACTGCTCGAAGAAACCTCCTAACCCAAGCTCCGTTAAGATGTAAAATTTCTATTGAATTATACAATATCTTAATCAGATTTTTATTTTTATTTTTACAATATCAAAATTGATTTAATTGATTTATAGGTTTCTTAAAGATCTTGAGCAGACCGAATCTGGTCTGGGATTTTAATCGGTTGGTTCGATTCAGATTATGACCATCCCGATTTAAAAACTGAACCTATCTGAATTTTGAGGCGACTTTCATTTTACTTTTCTAATAAAAAAAATCCCTTTGAAATCAGAAGCTGTCTTTTATTATTAGTTCTTTCTTAGATAAAAGTCTCCTTCAAAGTTCGAAGACGTCTTTTATGTTATTTCTAATACAAGTCGTCTCGAAGTCAGGAGGCGAGTTTATTCTAATAAAATTCACTTCTGAACATTGGAAGCTTTAAGAAACATATTATTTTTGACAATAAAACAAAAAATTAATCTTCGCTTCTGGTTAATTTTTTCGAATCAATCCGAAATTTTCAGTTCGGATCCGCACATTTATTATATTATTTTTTCAAATTATATTTCACAAATTTTTTTTTTTTTTTTTTACATACATATATAATATATTATTTTAACATTATAATTACTAAATATTCATTAAAAAAAAATTTTTTTTTTTAATGTACAAACAATTTTTATAATTTAATTATTTGAAATAATTGAAATAAAATAAAAAACGATTTATTAAATACTTACACCTAAAATTGTAACAGTTTAAAAAAATTTTTTTTTATTATAAAAAAAAATTTTACGATTAGTAAATAAAATCTAATAAAACGACATTTTTTTACAAATGACATAAATAATCAAAATAAAATAGAATAGAATAGACATAAAACTATAAACAAAGCATCTAATACTTATAATGATTGCTGTTTTTTTTTCGCATATGTTGTAAGATCCCTAAAAATAAATAAATAACAATAAATATAAAAAAAAAAAAATTTAATTTAAATGAATACATAAAATTCTTACGTGATAATACTTGTCCAAGGAACATTGACAAACGTCATGCAGCATTTTAAACTTTCAGGATCAGATGAAGATTTATCCGTTATAGATTGTGATAATCTTTTCAAAGATTGAAAGAACGAATTCGATGAAGTTGGCCTCTGTCTGATTGATGCTTTTCCATTATTAATGTTAGTAATTGTAGTATTTCCGCTATTAAAATTCCACGGTAAATTAGAATCAACTCCTGTTGCTAATGAAGTAGCATTAAATGAAGGTGCAAAATTTGAAGCATTCGGTGTTAAATCCAATAAATCTTCATTGGATTCATCTAAAGATGATGCAGTGATTGCAACCTATTTTTATTTATTTATTTATTTTTTTTTTTTTTAATGGGGGAAAAACAAAAAAACTTGAATCAAACCTTTTGATCAATCATAAATAAATATATAACCAACCTGTGCATGTCCTTTTCCACCTGGTCCTCGCATCATAATATATTCAGTAGGCGGCGTTACAGGCCCCATCTTAAATCTCTTATTTAATTTACTAGCAGCTTTTTGTTTATAGATACCTAACAAAGAAGAATAAGAAGCAGCACCTTGAAATAAAGTGATTTTTGAATCATTCGATGGCTGTGGGAAAGGTCCATTTGTCATTGATCTTCTGTGTCTGCCACTTTTTTTGCTATTATTAGTGGAAGTATCATAATAATATTCATCACTATCATTGTCCCTATCGCTAAAGTCATCATCATCGTCTGACTTATTTGGTATAGTAACTGCCAATTCTACACATAAATACTCTCCTTCTGCGACAATTAAATGTTCAAACATATCCTCATAATCATCAATCACATAATAAATCAGAGGATAAGAACACTCCATAGATGTTTCCTTAACGTCCATTCTTGACTTAGTTGGAAGAGCATAAACACGTTTTGAAACATGTTTCTTTGAACATGTCATGCTTGTCTTTTGGTTTGGTCCATCATTCGGTGTCCGTGTACATACTGCAACCGTTAATTTACAAGGTAACTAAGAAAATTTTCAAGAGACACGAAATCATTCAGAAATCTGTTTAATGATTAAATAATTAAAACATATATGATAATTTATGTCCAATCTAGTTATGTCCAGGTACCTGAACGATCAAATTCAGAAAAAATGTTTCTTTCCATAATACTGCATCATCTAGAGGTGGCATTATATTTGGAGTGGTCTTTCTTTTAACAAACACTGGATCAAGACTTTCGTTTTCTGAATGTGTTTGTCTTACGAAAAATAACAAATCATCGTTTTTAGCATCACTATTCTCGAGGAAAAATTCTACAAAAAGATTTGGCCATCTAAAGAATTTGTAAATTTCAATACTAATATAAAATTTAAATATCATTCGAACGAATTTGATAAAATTATTTGTTGACAAACCTCGGATCTCCCGAATCAAGCCCCTGGTCGTCTCGTTGTTGAATTGTATTTGGCGATTCAGGTTGCGAATCACGACGTCTCGATATTCTCTGATTATAAGTGATCATACTACTACTTGTAGTAGTAGTCAATATAGGTCCATGAAGATTTTCGGCAATAAGCCGATCAAGAATAAGTTGAAGGTGTGCCATCGATTTTCTTTACTGACAGGAATGAATTTTTACTGATATCACATTTGTGATATGCAGTGTGACGATCTTAATTATAATTCATTGGTTGATTCACAAATCAATCGCAGAAATGGTTAAAATTTATAGGAAAAACAACTTAAAATTGATTAAGTGCAATTTATTTTCTTTTATAGTATACGTACTTCGTGTAACCGAGTCTTAAAATTTACAAATCTGGAGATAGGTCGTGTAACAATAAGTTGGTCATTATCCAAATTTCACGTGATATCATATTTTGACCAATCAATTCTACAAATGACATGACATATCACATGACATTTTCAAGTTTCGCACCATAAAGATTTTATCATAGTTGCCAATGGAAAATTTCACAGTTTATCTTATTTATTAATTTATGATTTTGTAGTAAATACACTCCTTGAATAAATTATAACCGAGTTTCGCTTTAGAACATATTACCTTGCCTTTCTAAAAACATGGATAGCATTGGGGTTTTGGCTTCTGAGCCCATTAAGGTTGACGATTTTACAAAATCTATAGAGAGAAATTCAGAAGACTCCATCTCACTGTCTGACGGCGGGATCCGTGAGACAAGTATGACTGAAGCTGAGGTTTTAGATGGTCTAGATGAAGAAGTGGATTTTTCTGATTCACCTAGACCACGACCACGACCAAAGCTTGAACGCAGTAATGCTGATAATATTAGTATTGAAAAAGAAAATATAGGAACTGGAGAAGTTACCAAGAGATTATCGAGCTGGATTAGTTCGTTTTGGATCCCTTCTCAAGATACAAACGAGGACGAGTCTGATAAGGACGATCCCGATTATGTTCGTTTCAAAAAAGGGTTATTTGATAGTTTAGATAATGTTAGATCAACAATTTGGTTGATGGGTGTCCATTATGAATTCAATGACGATCGCAGTTCGAGTGAATCTAATGGCAATTTTTATGAAGCATCAAGTTATTATTATTATACAACACCAGGAACCTTTCCTCATCTTTCGGTACAACAACAGACATTATCATCAACTAATTACCCAGCTGAATTTGTTCAAGATTTCACTTCACGAATATGGTGTACATATAGGCACAATTATGCCCCTATAAAACCAACGAACTTTACGAATGATGGGGGATGGGGTTGTATGCTAAGGTCAGGTCAATCATTACTTGCAAATGCTTTAATAGTGCAATTTTTGGGTAGAGGTTTGTGATCTCCTTCTTTTACTTACCATATGAACATGAATTTGATAAATTCCAATCATTATATTGCTTAATATATATATCCTATCATAGGGATATGACAGAATTTCATTTTTTCAATTAGGTCAACTTTTGTTGACCTTTTCTTTTTCTAATTTGTTTAGAATGGCGAAGAGTAAATAGAGGTGAAGATACATGGAATAGATATGTAGAGGTTGTTATCTATTTATTTGTTTGTTTGTTATTTCTTTAATTAAAAAACTAAATGAACTTTTCCATATAGATTCTTGCATGGTTTATAGATGATATGTCATCACGTTGCCCGTTTTCCGTTCACCGTGTCGCTTTGTTAGGTAAACAGCTTGGAAAGAATATTGGACAATGGTTTGGGCCTTCAACAGCATCCCAAGCTATCAAGTATGCCTTATAGCTTTTATTCCCTATTATTTTACTTTCTATAACTAATACAAGAATTCAATAGAGCTTTGGTAGAAGATTATCCAGCCGCACAATTAAGTGTACACATTGCAACAGATGGTGTAGTTTATAAAAATGAAGTATACAATGCTGCACAGAATAATCGATCTGGAAAGGATTTTCAATCTGTTTTGATTCTTGTCGCCACGCGATTGGGGACTGACAAGCTTAATTCGATATATTATGATGCATTAAAAGTTAATAATTTTAATAATTTATATATGATTTAAATTTACTATGGAAATTTCTTTTAACATAAAATTTATTTGTTTATTAATTTTTAGGCATATTTTAGATTTCCGCATAGTGTAGGAATAGCTGGGCAAGTAGAATAATTTTAAATTCTGAATTCCCTAGTAGACCTTTTTAAAAATATTTCCATTCAAATAGGGGGAAGCCATCTTCTTCATATTACTTTATTGGAACTCAAGGTTTGATAGTGAAACGGAAAATACTAGATTATTTAAGAGAAAGAGATTTTAAATTTCGATTATGAATAATATTCTTTATATCATTTAGGAGATGACTTGCTTTATCTTGATCCACATCATTCAAGGCCGGCATTAGAATTGAAAGCCATACAAGAATTTACTGAAGAAGTAGGAACATTTGTGTTAAATGTATATATATTTCAATAATATTTTAAATAATTATTAATTTTTTTTTTTAATAAAAAAAGGAAATGTCAACTTTTCACTGTGATACATTACGTAAAATACCAATTTCGCAACTAGATCCTTCAATGCTACTTGGATTTTATTGTCGGAATAGTGAAGAATTTGAAAATTTTTGTAATCTTGTTGAAGAGGTCAGTTAGTTAAACTTTATATATGTTTATCACATTTTTATTAACTTGTTGTTAACAATATTCGGCAAAATATATTTAGATTAGCAAAGACAATGCGCCTGTTTTAACAATTGCACAAGAAGCACCTGTATATGATTTTGATTTTGATGTTGTTTCAGATGAAGAAGATTGTGAAAAATACAATTTAGAAGACGAGTGACTCTATAAAAATAAAATTTAACTGTTTCTATCTATACTAACATAATAATTATATTTAGCTTACCATTTCCTGTTATTGTATATTTCTATAAGATTCTTTATTTTTTTTTTTGTTTTTACAATTTATATTTTTAACAAATTATACAGCTTCATAAATTTGTCATTAATTTTTATTTTATAATATATTTATTTATTTTAAATGTTTTTGTATATAATAAATAAATACAGAGAAATTATAATATATTAAAATCATGTGATTAATATTAGCACAAAAATTTATTTGGTTGGTATTATTAGTTTTTATATTTATTAAATAATATTTATTATAGTCATGAATTTAAAAAAAATATATTTTGATAATTATTAATCATATGTATAATTTATAAAGATTAAATTAAGTATAAAAAAAGTGTAATAATACTTATAGAAGAAACAAATTTTAAAAAAAAAATTTTATTAATATAATCTTAAAATCTTAAGAATTTTAAAATAATTAATATAATAAAGTTTTAAAATACTATTTATATAGTATCATTATAGGATGAGGAATTAAGCTAACATTATAAAATATATAAACTAGAGCATACCATTTATATAGAATATAATAGGCAATTTTTATTTATATACAGGTATATTATATACAAGTTATGTAAAATGATTAGCATTAACATTACTTTTACTAGCATAAAAAAATTAAAAAAATTACTTATGATAACAATTTGACAGATAATGTGTAACAAATAAGAATTTTAACTAAAAAAATTTCAAGTTTCTAAAATAAATAGTAAAACTAAAATAGAGGAATGTAAACCAGTAACTAAAAATGATGCTACAATTATTTACAATACTGTAATGCTTATTTATCAACAATTATAACTAATTGTAGTATTATCTTTAGTGACAAATATATATGTCATGTGTAAAGATGATACTGTAACTAATTATAACTAGTAATAAATAAGCATCATAAGGTTATAACTAGTTGCAACATTAATGAAAATTAAATTGCAATTAATTGCAATTAGTGACAAATAAGTATCACATAGTTGTAACTAGTTGTAATATCATCTTTAATCATATGATTTAGACATATACATCCTTTGTAAACTTAGAAATTTTCTTTTAATAATGCATTTGTAATTAGTATTTTTGTATAATCAAATTTACTTTGAAAAAAAATAAGTCTTAATTATTTTAAAAAGAAATCTTTTAATTTTTTTAATAATGTAATAATATAATGCATAAATTTATATTAAATACTTTTATACAATTAGGTTATTAAAAAGATTTTTTTAATTTTTTAATAATGTATTTTCATATTAGTTTAAAAATATAAATTATTAATGATTACTTAATCTAATCTTTTCTTAATTTTTCTATTATTTATATTAATTAATGTTAATATTATCTAATCAAATTTTAATTATTTTTATTAAAATCAGATTATATTATTTATAAATAATTATCATAGAAAGAATTAAATTTAATTATATGAATTATTACATGAATTATTATGTAAATAAATTTTTAAAATACAATCATCTCCTTCTATAGTTATTTTTTATATAATTATATTATATAAATCCTTCCTTATAATTATACATTTTGTAAGAACTAATATCTATTAATACTATATAAAAAATTCTTTTTATAATTATAGTATTTTTATAGTCACATCCTTTAGAATCAATACTTAATAATAATATAAAAAATTCCTCTATATCATTACTTTTTATTATAATCACATATTGTAGAAAAATTATAATATTTTAATATATAGTGATTATAAAAAAATGAAATAAAATTTATTAGATTGGTTATATTAAGATATATCTAATAGTAGTATTTTTAAATTTTTAAAATTAATAATTATTAATATATATTAATTTTTCAATTTTCAATTTTTTAAAATAACTTATTATTTAATAATTACAAGAAAATAAAAATAATATAAACTCTAACTTTTTTTAGCAATTACTCAACCAAGAATTTTTACATAAAATATGTATGTTTAAGGGTAGCTATAGCTTAGCCTGCAAATAAAAAACAAAACTTCCTTTTTAAACTTCTTCCTCTCTTTATTTTTTCCAAATCTTTTTATCCTAAAAAACAGTTTTTATTAGTTTAAATAGTAATATTTTTGATAAAATATTTTTTCACAACTATTTTTCCACTTTTTCTCCTTTTTCTTTTTGCTTACAAAAGTGTGCATAGGATATCCCAAATAATGATCAGGATCAACAATAACTTTAGATCAACTAATTACACATGATAATTTTTCTATTACCTTTTTAAATAAGCATACTCTTTTTAGATCTCTGATGTTATAGAGTTTACTGATCTTAGCAGAATTTTTTGGTTCTTACAACTGTATAATTTGAGCTCTATACAATGATTGCTGTGACTGTAATTTAAATTGACAGATATATTAATATGAAAGTTTAAGAATACTGAAAAACCTTTAACAGAACTTAATAATTATAAGTGCTCTTATTATGGAAGGTTGCTATAACCAGAAATTAATCAAGTAATTTAGCTAGAAACTTATTTAAAGTCAAAATTTTTTTATTAGCTTTTTTTTTGGTTTTATAATAGTTTAGGTTACTTATTTTTATATTGAAATTATATTTAGAATAGGAATTATTATTAAGTAAAAAAGAGAGGTGTAGTAATAATCTAATTGTTATATGTTAATAAAAACTTAATTAATTGATTGTCTTCAGAATATAGCAGGATGATCAGTTGGTCTAGAGCTAATAAATTTTTAACTTATAAGGACATTTTAAGCAATTCAATTTATTTTTTTCTACTATATGTATCTGATTTTAAGATTTTCATATATTAACTTACTGGATTTAGAATTTTCATAAGAAATATGAACATTATTATATCTTTAAAAAAAAAAATAATTACAAGAAAATAAAATTTAGTTTGTTAGATTTATCTCATTAAAACTTATTAAATAATTATATTTTCATATTTTTAATATTAATAAATAGCAAGATATATAAGTTTAAAAATTTAATTTTATTTCATAATAATTTATCATATATTTATCTTTAAAATATCACTAATTAATTATATTTTTTTTTTGAATTTTTACTTGAAAAAATATTATAAAATTTATTATAAAAATTTTAATTTATTATAAATAATTTTAATTATTAAATAAAATTAAGTAAATTTGTCTGCAAAATGCTTAAAGAGCTAACAATATTATTTATTATAAATAATATTATTTGTTATAATTATTATAATTTATCATAACTATTTATTGTAATTATTTATTATTTATTATAATTAACCATAATTTTATAAAAATTCATATAATAGTAATTATGTAAAAGATTAATAGCTAAAAATATTATTCAAAATTTATTCAAACTTGTTCAAACTATTTAAATATAAAATTATAAAATAAAATGTAGATTTTTTTTTAAATTTGTATTTTTTTTTTATTAATATATTTTTTATTTATCATATTTAAATAAACTATAAAGAAAATAAAAAGTATGTTATTAATACTAAAAATATATTATTTGTAATTTTTCTAAATAACAAAAAAATAAATAAAAAGATAATTCTAAAAGAATGAAGTATAGAAATATTTTATAATAGATAATAAAAAAATAATAAACACTATCCTATAACTTATTATCATTATAAAAAATAATAAAGTAGTAAACTAGGAATTTTAAAGTTTATCTTTTTAATAAATTTTTATAATATTTTAAAAATATTAGCAAATATTAATAAAATAAACTTTTTATTAAATTAACAAATTATACTTGTAAAGAAAAAATTCATAATTTAATTATTATTAAAATAATATCAAATAATTCAATACTTTAGTTTGAATAAATCTTAATCTCTAGCTATAACTGATTGAATTGACTAATTATTACTAAAAGTTAAGTAATAGTAGAAATCTCATATGTAAAATATTAGATATGCTACACATGTTATTAATTAAATAACAGCAAATTTTATAAAACTTGATAAGATTAAAATTAATAATAGATTATGATAAAATTATAAAATTTTTTTATAAACTTTATTAGAATTGTTTTATTTATATCAAGGTTTAACTTAAATAATAATAAAATCTGAAAGATTGTATACATATGTAAAAATTAAATGAGAATCATTATTTATAATAATAGATTTTATTTTACATATATGCTTTATATTTGATTAGTAAATATACATATAGAATTAATAAAATATAATATTATTATTATTTAAATTTTAATTAATAATTATTAAATATTATAAATATTTAAATAATTCTTGAGTATCAAGATTTATTTTAAATATAAATATATATAATTTATTAAAAATAAAGAATTTTTACTACATATCAATATATAATTAACTCTTTTTATAATAAATTTAAATATAATGAATTTTATAATACAATGGATTTTAGTGTAAGATAAATTTTTAAATATAAAAAAAACCTTACTATATTGAATTTGGTAATTAAAAATTCATACTATATTTAACAAATTAAAATTAGAAAAATTTATATATAAAATAATCCTTTTTATAACAAATTATCTCTATAGTGTAAAACCTCTATAATAAGAACTTAAAAAATATTAACTATTGACTGAATTTTAATCAAATAAAAAAATGATTTATATTTGTAAAATGAATCAATTTATAAAAAAAGTATTATTTCAATTTTATAAATTATATAAGCATTATGTAATATATATATGAGCCAATCAGAAATTAGAATTAAAATCAAATAAAACAATTTATTTTATTTATTTTATTATTTTATTATAAATTATATTAGATATATAATGATGAAATTTATATTTTTTAACTATAATTTTACTATTTTTCTAGTAATACCTTTTTATAAATGTTCATAAATCACTATGATTTTTATATATATTTTTGAATTATAATTAAAGGAATTGAATCTAATGCTTTAAAAATAATTTATTATAATCTAACCTATGTGTAATTACAATATTCTTGTATATTTTT